TATGAATTTATTTCATTTTCGTCTGTTGAACTGCCTGTAACTCTTTTGAAACTTAAATTTACAACCGAACGATAGACAGGAATATAATAAATCAGTTCAAATTTGATTGGTTTTGAGGATTCTATGCGCATTTATAATTTAACGGATTTAAAAATACAACAAAAAAAACACTTTTGACTTGTAATAAAATGGCGGGAATTTCTCAGTTTTAAGATTTAAATGTAATTTTTGCTTGATCAAAGCTGTTTTTTGCATCAAAAACTATGATTCTAGATGTGAAAAAGTGGCACAATCATTTTTCGACACAAAAGATCCGCATTGATTGCTTATTTTCAAAGGAATTGCAAGAAATATTTTCAGTCACGTGGACAAAAATCAAAACGCCTCAAAACAGACAATACAAGCTTAAAATCATGCTAAAACTATGAATCCTTGCCTAAACGAAATCATGAGTTATCAAAAAATAGTTATAGCTTGTTATAGACATATCATATTGAAAATAAAATCACCCACAGTTTCTCATAAATAGCTTTCTTACAATGTTTACAGAGAATATTGTAAAGATACATGCGAGAGACTGAATGACTTTTAGAAAATAGCAAAATGTATGTCTCGAAACTCTATATATCTATTTCTTATACCATCTTCTTATTATTCCCCTTTTATAGTTAATCGATTGAAATATGAAAATTTTAATTTATATATTTTTTGTTCCTTCTTCTTCTTCTTCTTATTTTTCATTTTATTTATTATTTGTGTATGAATTGATGTTTTTATTAAACGAGATGAGAAAAAAAAATTGAACATGAACAGGTCTTTTGATTAAAATCATGCGAAATTGAAATTGGAATTTGTTTCATGTTGAGAACTTTTTTCTTCTGAAATGTTTTTGATGAAAGCTCGTGAGATATTTATAGAGGTGTAACCTATTTTCAGTCGCAAGATTGACAGCTTGTAAAAAAATTCTCGGAATGAATTTTTACACGAAAATTGAGCTACAGAAACCTGTCAAAAAAGTCAAAAAACCAGAAGCTAGTTACGCCTTAAAATTACAAATTCATTTATTCCATAAAACCTTTAAAATCAAAATAAAATCTGAATACAAAAGGCAAAAAGAGCTTAAAATTTGGATCAATATGGAAACACAGAGAACAAGAAATGCTCAACTTGGAAGGTACAGCATGTAAAAGCACAATAAATAAATGCATAACAAATTAAGATTACTCTCATGTGACTGGCAATATAAATGTACGTAAAATTAAATTTGAATGGAAACGCATTCCTTTAACAACAGCAAAAAAAAGAGAAGCCAGAAAGCATCAATGCTACTTACTATATATTGAATAAACAATAGAAATAATAATAAGAATAATAAATCGTGCTCTTGTCCTTTCTTCATGTGACACACGATGCAACCTTAGTCCGATGCATTATTATATAAATTCCCGTGGATATCCAAGTTTCGAAGAATTTCTTGGAGAGAACCTAATAATTAAATTTGAGAACTTCCATCCAACAATTTAATAATAAAAAATCAGTTACATGAAGAATTTCGCATGAACATTAGTCTTACTTATGTTCAGTCTCTTTCTCTTCTTTCATCCTATATAAACTTTATTATTTTTTTGGATAAAATATGCTCACATGTATTGTTAATAGTACAATATAACAACAAACATCAGTAGCAGAGCAGTGAGAGAGAGAATATTCACAAAAGAAATGTTTAAATACACTTTTTTAACTTCCCAAATGAATTTCTCTTATCGCAATTTGATCAGACTACCAATTAAATGTGACAGTTGGATAAAGGAGTAAAAAATTATACTGTCACATACATCTGAGCAGTGGAAAAGGAAGAAGAAACACTCACACACACACACACACGCTTTTTTTTAGATTTCTGTATGTTTCCATCTTTTTCTGTTGTGAGGTTTGTGTAGGGTCTTTCATGTTGTCGAGGAATTTTGTTGGGTGTCGGATGAGATATTAGTTGATGGAAATCAATTGCTTGCTGAAATTAATGTCTGTTCTTAAGATTATGGTTTTATTTTGATCATATTAAATGTGTTTTAAGTCGAACCAACTTCTAACTGCACATCAATGTAGAATCCAGGTCACATTATCCCTATAGTATAAATCCAATCATTCTTAAAGCTCAAAACTCACAAGAGACCGCAAAAAAACAATATTGAGCACGCAATAAATCTTAAAGTTTTTTTTCCTATTCCGTATCAAGAATCTCAATCTGCAACATCATCAACTACGCTTCTTCTTCAACTGCCATTTTGTTGTCTGTACAAATCTGAGTGCGATCTGGTGGGATTTATAAATCCGACATTGTATCACAATATAGCACCAACATTCGATTGTCAATTTCATAAAACTGTAGAAATAAAGTAAATTAATTGAAGTCATTTAGATTTTAATGGCTTATTAATTAATACCTTCGACTCCCTTTTTAAATCCGCACTCATTTTTTGCGCGCTCACATTTTTTTGCTACTTCAAGCAGTGCTTTAATAAATTATCGATTTTTATTTTCTTCCTTCTCTTCCTTTCCTCACATTGTATATTGTGTGTGCATTTTCATTTACAAATTAAAGTTCAACATGAAGTCGGAACAAAAATGAGAAAGAGAAGCAGCTTTAAATGATAATTTTTTTTCTAACCATGGCCTCTGTTACATTGTTGCTCCACGCATGCTCCAAATCACCATTTTTCTCTCTGACATTATTTTTTTGTTGTATTATTGCAATGAGGGTTGTAAAATCTCATTCAACAATCCAGCAGTTACATCTGATGTTATGGACTAGCTTTTGGGGAGAAGAAGAAAAATCATTAATTTTTTTGAGAGTTGCTCTGACTAAATTATATCGCATGCCATTGTCTCACTGATTTTTATCGACCAAAATGAATGAATGAATACAGAAAATATTCAAGTCAAGAAGTCCTAATGTGTCAAGCTCATAACTCGGCGAGTTAACTGTATAAAGATTCAATCAGGCTATAAATCTTATTAATATGATCTTATCTAATGTATAGATTATCTATATCTAATTATGAAAAGTGATATGCGTTGATCCGCTAGTGTAAAGTGCCCAACCAGTCAAACAGACATTTTTATGTATTTTTTTTTCTCTCCTTATTTGTATTCTTGTTATTCTACAGTCAGCCACTGGTTTAGCATTTCAGCAATAAAATGTAAAACTTGTGTCTGCTCGAATAAATTTAATTTTGAATATTCAAGCATCATGATAAATTATACTATCGAGTGCCTTTTTTCTTCAAAAACTGTCTACTGTAAATTTTAGATTTTTTTTTGTGAATTATTAATGAAATGTAAATGTATTTGTGGCTGTCTATCATGTATATTTTCTGTATTCAATGAGCTTTTTATATTTTGCTCATTCTGAAATGAGTAAGAAGAAGAAATTTGAATATTTAAGTGCATTTTGAGGAATTTAAAAAGAGCTGACCTAATTTTAATGGGTTTTGTGAATTCTCTAATGCTGATTGGAAATTTTGGAATAGGAACTAAAACTAGCAATAGAGGAGATTTAGGACCACGAGATTTCACTGTCAAGCCTCAAATTCTAAGAACCTGTATCTTTAACTAAGTGCTAAAACATATCTCCAACGTCAAGCACGAAACATCGCAATAATATCTCAATAAATCCACATCCAGTCGAACAAATAAGCCAAATCTCATACAGAATCGTAAAACAATCCAAAATCATTCAGGAAGCTACACAGATTCCATTATTCAAATGCAGTCAAACAAATTAATTTAAAATAAAAAAGAGATAACTTTTCAATAACGAGGATGAATAAGAAGTAAAACAAGACAGAATGTAAAAGATGATTCTACCAATTCTGTAAATTATTTAGAAATTCATATAACAATATTCAAATTCCAATTCTTGTCTTCTGAATTTTCATGACACAACAACAGCAGCTACAAAGAAATTTTTTTCTTTCTCGCGCTATAGATTGCCATATATACAAGACCTATCCATCTCTGTCATATCAAATGACATTCAAAAAATTGTATATATACTTCTCATTCGTTATAATATAAAATTAATTGATTGAGTTAAAGGTATGAATAAGTTGAAAAGCATTGCAAGATATTCTTAATATGCGTAGGGATTGTCTCTTAATGACGTCTATTAGAAAAGTATGTAAATGATCTCTGTTAAATGATGTCTATGCAATATATGTATTATAGACACCTCAGTCCTTGATTATGAACATCATTTATGAACGACTCCCACATTGAGTCAACGAAAAATAAGTTACATTAAAATATTAAGAAATAGTGATTTGAGACAAGACAGTTGCTCTTTAATCATCATTTTTTTCACTCTTCTTCTTCATTCCACTTCTTTCATTCCTTTTTATTTACGATACTCCCAAGTTGGAGCAGCAACAACATGTTCAACTTTTCATGTCTTGTCTTTAAAAAAAGAAGTAACAAGACGAAGAAGAAATACAGAAAATATAATTTTTTGACCAATTATATGAAACAGTAGAAGAATGCCTCTCTCTTTCTCACTTCCATCAACTTCTTTATGTTAATTTGAGCATCAATATAGAGTGGGTGGAATAAATTGATCTATCATCGTAATCATCAATGTTGTTACTCTTCTACGGTCACGAAATAACATGATATGTTAAGATAGATAGATGGAAATGTATATCAGATTAGCATCTATATAGAGTAGCTCAAATTATTAATGAATAATTTATTATAATTCTTGTCGTCTTTCTCGTGTGCGAGTTTCTCGTATTTTGGATGTCTCTAGAGCTCCTCGAGAAAACTATTATGATTAAGTTTTCAAAACTTGTTTAAACTTTTGAGTACGTAATTTATGGATGACCTCTAATAGCCCCTCAATTTTCACGTCAATCTCAACCTCATTTCTGCGTATGCAAAATCTCCATTTTAAAATTTTGATTAATTTTCGCCTATTAATAACAACAATAATTCATTCTTTCCAGAAACTACAGTCACTACAAAGTGCAGCACGTCGTGCTGGTACATCCTGTGCAAATTGTAAAACGACAACAACAACACTTTGGCGAAGGAATCAAGGTGGTGAACCTGTTTGCAATGCCTGTGGACTTTATTACAAATTACATAATGTGAGTATTGTGTTGGATATATTCTTTCGATAATTTTTTATTACTTACGTATTGTAAGAAGTAAATTATATGCAAGATCTACTTTGCGAATGAGCTCGCATGTTGTATACGGAACGAGAACTGCATGAAGTTCTAAATAAAAACTTTTTCTTCAGCTCTACAATTAAACAACAAAGTTTTCCGCTGCTATTTTTAATTGCCTGTATTATAAAAGGTGAAAAAGAAGCACTAATTTTACCTTATTCTCACATTTATGCAATCTCTTATCCATCTGGATCGTTTTTCCACGCAATTTAACTTCCCCAACTTCTTTTTTTGTTTTAACAAAAACAGAATAATCAATGAATGTTAAGTAGCAATCATGTACATACAGGGGATGATTTTCTATCCTCAAAAAAATTTTAGAGCTGATTATAGATGATGATAAAACATTTATAAGGGGTTGAATCATACAAAATCAATGCATTTAAGGCGATTAGATTAAATGAGATTTCCCAAACGGGAAATTAAGAACGATTGAACACGTTTCTATGATTTTTCATCTTCATTCAATGTTTCTGTGATGAGAGTAAGGCTTTGGTTGTGAAAGAATCTCTCCCTCTACAGATTGTTTATATTTAATGCGTGCGTTAGGGTGAAATGTTAAGATGATATTTGCCCATACAGAACAGTGTCGGTGCACATAAATTGACTTTAAAAATGTTTTCCTCTCTTTTTGTGGGTGAGAATGTTTGTGGAAAAAGGAATTGATTTCTTGTCATTTTGTCTATTGTGGAATTATTGAATGCTTCTAGAATTTGACAGAAAACAAAAGTTCGAATCTCAATTATATTAGAAATATCCTATCCCATAATTATTTATTTGAGCAATTGATACTAGTTTTTTACAAAATGCATCTTACAGTCTCAACTCTATCGTCATTCACAATTTCCTATATATATTTTTTTTTCAATTTCTCTCTTAAAACGTTTTTTAAGTTTTTCTTGTCACTCTTCTCGCTCAGTTCGAAACAACCGCAATTACCCAATTAAAATGACAGCATGAGATTGAAATGAAGGAGAAGAAAAATCTTTATCTATTTTCCATATTTATTTTCCATTCCTCCTCCCACGCCTTTATGGTGACAAAGAGAAAAGAAAAATGCGAAAAACAAAGTTTTTTCTCTTTTTCCTTTCCACTTTTTTCTTGTCTTCTTGTCTTTCAAGGAAAAATAATATGGAGATTGTTATCAACATTATTAAATTACACCCTTCTGTGTCGTTCATTCTTCTTGAAATTTTCTTTATTTTTCTTCTTGCTTCTTTTGTTTTTCACATTCAAATAATAATGGAAATTTTTTTTAAATAATATTTTAATTTATAGCACTTTGAAAGAAGAACAAAAAAATATAAATGAAAAGACAATTTTTTATGCAAAAGCATGAAAGTTGTCAGATCAATTTGAGACATGAACATTGGTAGTTTGGGTTGTATGATTTTATCAGCTAAAGTTTTCGTCAGTCTAGAATTATTTTTTAAAGAATTTAAGTTAATTAAATCATTGGGGTTAATTGAAAAAAAAATCAAAAAAGAATTATCCAATATGCAAAATAAAATATTCATTAATATTGTAGGAATCGAACCCTAATTTGTCTTAGTAATTTATTGAATTCTGAATCATTATTTTAAAGTTTTAGCAAATTGCAAACTTAAGTTTTTTAAACAAACCAGCAATAATCAACAACAGCTATAAAACACATTTAATTATAAAAGACACATCAGAAGATGACAATTTCGATATCAAGAGATGCGATCTTAACTATGATCTTCAATGTTAATTGACTAATAATATGACTATTTTAAACAAACAGAAACCAGAAGTAATGAAATATTCTACAACACAAACGTGTCTATTTGCTGACTTTTATAGATAATATAGACATCACTTCTCGTAAACATGAAAGAACAACATAATCAACAGACGGCATTTAACTGAAAAATCTACTCCATTAATTCTATAGTAATTTACACACGAGCATATGAGTAAGACAGTAAAGAACAATTTTGATCTTTCTTGCATTTTGGGCAGTTAAAATAATTGCATGCATGGTCATATTTCGTTCGTTTTTATTACAATATTGTACTCTACTCATTCCCAAACGGCAGCAATTATTAATTTTTTAATTGAGCTTTCTTTTATATTTTATAACATTTATTTCTTCTCGAGCCGCAATATCAAGCAATAAAGCAACAGCAGCTACAACTACACTGTGCTCAAGTATTTAATTATGTCATTTCCTTTGCGCCCCCAAAAAAAACTACAACTTTTATTCCATTCATTTTCAAACAGAGAGGAAAAAAAATATGTGAATTGGCAATGCTGGAATGTTCAGTCGCATGACTTAAAGTAGTGGAATTTTTTAAATACACACCATTTGCGAATGAAGTTATTAAAATATAAAAGAAATACCGTCGGCGCTTGTTTTTGTGCTGTTTTTTTTTTCAATTTTTGAAACTGTTAAATTTTTTGACGACATCAGCTTGATCTTGGTTCAATAATTTGAAGCTATTGATTAGGATTTTATCATTGAAATTACAAATAATATTGATCTCTGTAATCAGACAGTTAAAATTATTGAAAGTTTAAAGGTTTAAATCTTAAAGATCCCAAAGAAAACCCCAAAATCGAATCCCAAAAAAATATTGCATCAATTTTTTTGCATAACTGTATACGTCATGTCTCTAATTCCATAATGCACAATACGAATTGTTACAATTTTTTTATGAGGATTTACCGAAAAGCAATTTTCAATTACTGTTCAATGAGCTAGTGAAAATGATATTTTTCTGCCTGATTTCACTTTTTTCCAGGATTTTTGTCTCTTCTTCTCCTTTTCCTTCTTTTTATTTCACAATGAAACAGAACAGAAAACACAAAAAAAAATCCCTAGCATGAATGAAAGGCAAACTCAATCCGATCGGAAGTTTGTTTTTGTTTGTTCTATCAATTGAACATATCAGATTTTGAGTGCCTTTATTTGTTACTGAAAAAAAAATCCTATATGCCATTGTCATTTGAATGCTGTATATGCAGGGAAGATCATTGAGCATAAAAATCCATTAAATCATTACTTTCGCAACTTTAATTCTCAACATGAGCCTGATTCTATTGATGAATAACATTTTTTTGCGACAATTTTTTTTTTACATCCAGGTACGAATTGAATATGTATACATTGTTACGTACTTATGGTATGCTTTATTGGAATTTAATTTACCACTTAAAAAGGGCATAACTGTAACAATGAAAGAGATTTTTTTCATGCTTGCCATTGTGAGTTAAAAGCCTCCCTTCATTCGAGACTATAACAATATATGACGATATGATACGTTAAGTCCTTTCTTTTCCTCTCACTCACTCACTCACTTTACTTATTCGTTTGTATTGCATTAAATTCTTCAACTGAGAAAATTATATAGTAGAATGCTAAAGTAATGATGAAGTTCCATTGTTCCAATGTTCGACATATAAAAAAAATCTACATAGCTACATACATCTATAGCTTATTTTACGACATAATGAAATTGATACTCTTGTTGCCTCTCTCTCGAGTAGTTTTTAATTTTATTTCGTGTATTGTTATGCATTTTTTTCTATATATTTAGTTCTCTCTGCTGTTGTACAATTAAATACATAAAAATCATTGTTTTCTGATACACAATAGTACAACAGCTTTTTATTCAGCATCACAATCACATCAAAGTGGGCTTAACTCTCATTTTATTGGCCTTTTTTCATACTTACAATTTTATATTTTATTGACGTCGATGCCTTTTGCTGAAGCACATACACATCATGATGTTTTCTTCTTTTTCACAATAAAAATTGTGTGTGGCTACTTGCAGTCATAAATTGAAAGCACACAAAACGGAAATGCATTTTGCGTAAGCTTCATTTAATTGCATTGATGATGCTGATAAGATTTTTTTTTGCTGAGTTTATTAATAATGATGCTGTAAAGTCGTGATGATCATCATATCATGTTCCATGTAACATGACATGTAGTTAAATAATTTGTTCAGAAGCTAATGAGATAAAAATGAAATGGAATTGGATTTTTGAGAATAATTAATTGAATGAGTTGATTATCTTGGGAATTAGGATTGATTTTTGGTGATCTTATCTTTTTTGAAAAAGGTTTTGATTTAAATTTTAATTGAAATTTTAAATTTAACTTTTTTTCATTTAAAAGTTTAAATTCAAACTGCTTAAAAGAATTATAAAGCAATTGCTTATCACTCTTAAGAACAAATAAATAGACTTCAAAACTATAATTTTCAACTATAAATCAAAAATTTCAAATATTTGAACCATATTTGAACAATTTTAAAACAAAACTCAAAGCTAAGTTTACAAATGCAAATCTCCTCCTTTAGAGCCCCGAAGTACTTTCTTAATTTTATTTAAAACATATATTAATTAAAACTCATCACAGTCTCAAGTTATGCTGCATAAAATGCACATAATTCTACGTAAAATTTCAATTATCACTACTTTCTGATCTTGCGAATATATTCACTTGAATAAGAGAAATTCACTTCATCCATTAGAAAGAAGAATAAAAAAAAATATTTCTTTTCGCAACATTAACATCCTTTAATTACAATAATCTACATTTTCATATTTTTCATTGCAGTAATTAGTGATTTCAATACGAAATCGGGCTTAAGTTGTGGAGAAGCTCTTTATTGCATTTGCTATTTTAATGCTAATTACAATGCCATTGCTTGCTAATGTAAGAAAAAGGGTGAAGAATAGGAAATGTACAGCACAAAAAAGAAACTGTTAAAAGAATATTTCTTCAAGGATCATAAATCAAAAACAGTGGAAATTAAATAAATGCGCGAAAGAAAATAATTCCACATTTTTCGCTTCAAATCACAAATATTTATGCATATGAAAAGTTTATTACAATAATGGACAGAGATATGCAGAGCGAACTTCCACAAATTCATATACAATAAACATTTTTCTTTCTTATTATATTTCGCAACAAAAAAAAAATAAACTGAGTCAGTCAGTAATTAACGCATTCATTATAGACTTTAAAAAATTGCATAGCATGTAAGTCAGTACGTTAGATACATTAGGGAAGTGAAATAGAAGTCAGACAATGTTGAATTGCATACAATTTTTTTTATATACATACATTTCTTACAAAATGCGATAAGCGATCTATTTGAGTGAGACTTAAAGGGAAAAAAAAAATAAGAGAAAAAAATTAAAGATTTCAGAACTTCGATAATAATAATGTACAGAAGTTGGAGCTCTAAATTTTTTCTGGTGCTACATATATTTATTTTCATGTACGCGCATTTATGAAGAAATTAACTGAAATATTTTCTATGTTATCAGATTGAAAACTATTTTCCTCTATTTAACAGGTGATTATTTTGTGGAATTTCACATTTTCTCGCAATTAAATTGCAAATATTAATTCCTAACGGTTTTTAAAAATTTAAAAAATCAATGAAAAAATTTCAAATTGCAAAAAATTCGTTAAATTTGCTCCCATGAAATTCCATTCTATTAATGTGCATCCACATGTATGTACAGCTCGTAAAACATATTCATTAATTCATTTATTATAATAATAAAATGCATCTAATTAAATCGTAGAGGAGTGAGAGATGGAGATGAAAACAAATGGAAATTAATGATAAGTTAAGAAAATTGCAGACTGAATGTTGCGATAAGCAAACGAAGCAGGAAAAAGACATACAAAGTTTTCTTCTTCCCATTCCCATTCCCTTATACATTAAAGAATAAATTAATCAAAATAGCAAGAATGCAAAAATGTGTTATGTTTATGTTTAAAAGATGCATAAATTTTCCCGGAGTAAAAGTGATGATATGAAATTTGTTGATCATTTAGCTGCTACTTCTTCTTCATCATCTGGCCCGCACGCGACTTTTGTAACATTTCCATAAATGCTAATTCTTCCTACTCCGTCATATTAAGGATGAGTTTTAACTGTCGTCAGTAACTAAATCGAGCATGACGTAAATATTTGCGCATCACGTGCCACACACGCTGTTATCGCACTCTTACAATTTCCCTAACTTGAAAATTTGTTCTTATAAATGAGATGGGGAAGAATCTTCCTACCATAAATGCATGCAGAGCTCATTTGGCATGAAAAATGCATTAATTGTCTTACATTAATTGGTGCATTAAGCTCTTTCCCTTTCGCATCTCAAAAATGTGATAATGATTACTAATGTTCCTTACTAATTTGCATCTTTGCAGGTAAATCGACCATTAACAATGAAAAAAGAAGGAATTCAGACACGAAATCGTAAGCTGTCATCAAAATCAAAAAAGAAGAAGGGTGTTGGTGGATGTCTACCGATTGGCAGTCATTTAGGTGATTTAATGAAACCTCTTGATTCAAAACCATTCCCCGGTGGATTCTCAACTTCAATGGGTAAGTACTGAGACATTGAGCCCACGAATGTCCTGAAAAGATTTAGTTTATATTTGTTCATATAAGATTGTTTATATCAATTCACAGGACAACATGGGCACTTATCAGGTGGACTACATCCTGCACATACACACATGCATGGCGGTTGGTCTGGATGGCCAGGTGCATTAGGTGCATCAAGTAGTTTACAAAGTGGATTTGCTACAGCTGGTTCATTAGGCGGCGGTGTAGTGCCTCATTCGCAATCGTATCATCTAGGGCTCAACTCAATGGTGAGTAGACATGCATATTATTGATTATAGTGCATGATACTAATGAATTTTATTATGATTATCCAGGGTGCATGGCGATCAGAATACACATGATGGAATAGCTCACAATCAATAGCAGCTGCAGCGGCTGCATCAGGTCATCACAGTTATGGCAACACATTGAATAATATAAATAGTAATAACGATATTCTAATGAATACTAATCATAATTTATTTGAATTAAATAACAATTTAATTGATAACTGTAGTGATACGTCGACTTCAAAATTACAAATTACACCAACAACAGCAACAAGTCATGAAGTACAAAATATTATTTCCATACAAAATAATTAAATTTTCCTTTCATTTCTATACTTAAATCCCTGTCCCTCCTCACCCCTCACCCCCTCAAAATTACAAGAAACAAGAATGAAAACATTGTATAGCTTAATGGACCTTTTTCGCGCAACATTTTTTGGTTAATGCATTACATAGAAAAAGTTTTGTATTCATTTTACACTTCAACAGTAAGAAACTTGCTTTATTTGTCGCCTGAAGCGCGAAGGAAGTTGCAACTTTAGTTGTACATTGTATATTGTATATGAAAAAGGCAAAGAAAAGGACGAAAGAGCGGGATTGCTGGACTTACATAGTTGAATAATTTTACCATTTCCATTAAAATGGGAAATTAATTTTAATATGATAATTTTTTTCTATTGAGCCGGCGGAGGCTATTTTGAATATTATACGCATGGTAATAAGGAGAGAATATTTTTTTTTTGTTTTCGTAGCAATTTCCTGAAAATATTTTTCTTGTAAGTCTTTTAATGGTATATTTGTACTTCTACAATATATTTATTAATGATGAAAGGAAAAATAATATAAACATGTATAAAAGTAGGACGTACATAAATTCACATTAATGCATGAAATAAATAAAAATGTTCATTTTTTTGTGAACGAAAAAAAATGGCAATTGCAAATTAAATGAAGCCATGCAACAAAACTATTTGCCCTCTACACATGCTGAATATTGCAAATCACTCAATTGGAACCTTTTATTTCGCTTTAATGTTTGTTATGTTTTGTTCTCACTTTGTTCGTCGTTAATTCAATGAAACTTCATTAAATATGGAACTACTGTGTTGAAGGTTTCAACGTATTTGTGAAATTTGAATTTTGCTGAATTCAGCAAAACTAAGATCCAATCTGCTGCAGATTTGATCTTTGTTTTGCTGAATTCAACTGATTTGATCTTCGTTTTGCTTAAACCAGCTGAATAAAGTTTGAATTTCCCTGAATTTAACCGAATTAAGTCTTAAAAATATGAATTAGACACTTATTATAGTCAAATCATGAGCAACTTAGTAAAGTAAAGCTAGCTAAAGCTCAATACCATCAAAGCTCATCAACAAGTCCCCCCAAAAAAATCAGTTTTCTTCATCTAAATGGTTTGATTTCAATTCATAAAACAACAAAATGTTCGCGTAAAACAATCGCTAATTAATATGATTAAAGAATCATGCATAAAACATTTTCCACAATGATTTAATGTCCAAAAAGTGCTTAAAATTTTTTCATGCTTTAATGAAGAAAGTAGGAAAGAAAAATTGAAAAATATTTCATAAAAAGAATTTAAAATTCAAATTTTCTCTCTTTACAAATTATAAATATTTTTTTTGGGAAACAACGAAAAAGCCACCGTCACTAAGCTATTTTTATTTGCCGAATTAAACTGCTCTAGCTACCGCTAAATTCACACAGTTAACAAAAATGCCGCGCATGAAATAATAATTGAAGTCTCTTTCTTTTTTGTACACAATATTAAAGTGGTCTCATGAGCACCGAGCAAAACATAAAAGAATTTTAATTTAATTCAAATATAAACATCCTACTGTTTTCATAAAGAAATACTTAATTTTTGACTTACTACATTTTGTTTTGTTGTCTATGTTCTCCCCACCTGAAAATAAAACATTAAAAAAATGTTTTTAATGCAATTAAAAAATTAATTAATTACCCACTTTCCTATTAACGCAACAAATTACTTTGATATTGAAGTTATGAATAAATTCAATTTTCAAGCATCCAGCAAATTTCATTTTGATGAATACAATGAAAATAACATAAATTAGTGTCAGAAATTATTAAGCGTTTTGGATATGAATTAAAAGTTTTCTCTCCTACCTACCAAAAAAAAAAAAAATGAATGATAAGCAGCAATGTTTTATTTAAAATTTCTTCAGTCAATGAAGAATGTGCCAGATACAAGCATATACATGATAAACTATGTGTAAATGTATTTTTAATTATTTTATATATGAATAATGTTAAATAAGGTGCAATTTTTATTTACCTCTCGTGTCCCTCTCGCTTGAGTGATGGATTCTTTTTGTATAGATTTGTTTGTGGATCAGGTTATGGTTATACTGTGTTTAAAACTTATCTATTTGAATAACTTCAAATAAATGATTGTCTTTGCTAATAGTGAAAGATTCTGCTAAGTACGAGTACCTTAGATGGCAACTGAAGCACTTAATAACTGTAAAACTAAGTTGAAGAGACTTTGATCCATTAAAAATCTCTGAATATAATCCATTACTCAAATCCTTCCTACAATTGTCCATTCTGGGGTTTGGCGTTACAAAAATCATCACATCTATCTCCTTTGTGACTTTTTTCTATGAACACTAAAACAAAAAAAAGTTTAAAACACATAAAATAGTTGTAAATCATTCATAAGAAAATTGAGGTTTTGAGGAATTTTTAAAGAATTTTTTAAAGCTGAGAAAAAGCTAATTAGATTTTAGATTTTTGGGCAATTTAGCTAAGCTTGGATACCTACTACAGTAAATCTTCATAAAATGAAAGTTTAAGTTTAATAAGGTTTTTTGTGGTTAAGTTTTATAGAAAAAAACCATTCAAGTTTATTTTAAAAAAAAGAAACTCGAAGAAAAGACCGACATTTGATCAATTCCGTATTGTACAAATTTTTTAAGGAGCCATTTCTCTACGAATTCAGATTCAAGTCTTTAACCACAAGGTTGGGTGGGAATCTCAAATTGGCTTGAACTCAAGAAGACCCACCCAGAGAACTCAACTAGCTTGTCCATTGAAGACTGCAAATATTTTCATGAGCACAAAGCAGCCTGATATGAGCAAGCTAGTGAATAATTAAATATTAAAAGTTCATCAAAAGTTTTAGTTTAAAAATTCAAAAAAAACCGTAGCTTTTGAAATTCTTAAAATTCCTCAATAATCCAGAATAAAAAAATCATTAAAATTGAAGAAAAAAGGAAAAAAAAATCAGAAATATTTTAAAAAATGAAGAAAAAAAATCATAATTGATGCCATAAAATAGTAGACTGTATTTTACTAAATGTGTAGTTACATTTTTATGCAGTAGATTAATTGACTTTTAAGATGAAGAAAAGCGATAAAAATTTGAGAAAAAAAAACATGTGTAAGACATAAGTTGAGACATAAAAAATTGTATAAAATATTCTAAATAAAAATTCAAGAACTTGCGATTTTTACACAAGTTCAAAAAATTTGTAAATAAAAGAAGAAAAAAAAAGAAAATTTATAATTTTGTAAAGTTTTTTCTCCACACTGCAAAACATGCAAAAGAAAAGAAAAAGAAAAAAAAATATGAAAAAAATGTGAAATTCTATGGAAATTTTCACAATCGCGTATAAAATAAGTAAATGAATATTGTAAGTTTTATGATGAAAAAAAAGTAAATTTATTATAAAAATTATCTTCATGTGTTAAATATGCAATAGGTTAATTAATTAATTATAAAAAATGATACATCTAGTTATAACACAAAAGTATTATTACAAAAATACGATAAATGATAAAAATAAATGTAAAATTGATGTGTTATGTAAAGAAAACCTCTTTTATGACTTTACAATAACCCTCAAGCCACAATACAATTAACAAAAATATTGAAGAGACAAATGGTTGATTTGAGATAAGAAAATATTGTTGTTGATGATTGTAAAGTCATGAAGAAATTTTTTTTGCAAAAAAAAAATGAAATTGTGAATAAAAAATATTATCAAGAAAAAAACATCAAGTTTCTTTTCAACTTACTTTTGAGCATCTATTGACAACAATGTTGTAATTTCAGATATATTTATTTCAGCATTTTCAGGCTTGTGATTGATAGATGCATCAGTTATAAGAAGTTTGAAGGATTTCAACGAATCTTATCTTCAGTTCAAAATATCATCCAATTTATCCAAACACAAGAAGTGTTTCTCTCCAAACACATCAAGTAGAAGCAAATATGCAAGACTTTATCATCTAAATAACAAGTTAGAAAGTATCCACTTTTCCTTAAACGATACTTGTATGTACCGTAGATCAGATAGCCCCAAAAACCAAATAATGTTCGCCTTTAAAACGAGCAGCAAACAAAGCAATTTATTGAAACAAAAAAAACTAATTTTTATTAATCATAGAAGCAATAAGTAAGCACTCAAGGAAAATGCAAATTGCCACACTTTAATCCACAAACAGCAAGGCAAAAATTCACTTTCATTGAAGCAAAACTTAAATTATTCCAACATGTCCAACAGAAAAGTCCATAAGCATGATTGATATTCATTGCATGCAATGTTTGTGCTCTAATTCAGTTTTCTTTTCATTTTTTTTTCGGTTAAAATGACCTATAAATATAGCAGAAAGTTCTCAATTTCATTCTAAAAACGCATTTAAAGTATTTAAAAGCCTTAAACGAATATCACGCACTATATAGATGCCCGAGCTGCACATAGAATTGTTTGGAAGTTTCTTGGTTACATGATTAATAATTTATCTTATGTTGGAATCAAGAATTTCATCGAACAACCTGATCAATACGAGAATAAAGTTTTAAAACCAGCTTAAATTCAAGAATTTCATCAAATCTAAGCTTGAATGAAGAGTTTAAGCACAGCTCGGGTTATAAATTAATTCCATTGCGAGTTTAGAAATTAAGCAGCATTGAGCTTAAATATTTGAATTTTTTGAACAATTCCTATTGAAAATTAATGAAATTCAGGTATAATCACTCATTTAATTAAATTAATCCAATTATTCGCACGAATAAAAAAAAAAACAAGGAGAAAGCTAAGCAAAATAGAATTTTATGATCGAATCAATTACTACCTAATTATGGATAGATATCCTATTAAGAAGAATTAATTCTTATTTTTACATTTTTATATCTTTAGTTCTCCAATTATAATGGATATAATTATTTATGATGTATGTTGTGAAAGAAACGAAAGATGTCTTATTGCGTTAATTCGACAGGTGGATTTTTAATTCAAAAAATATTCCCTGCGTCGAGCAATTCTTTTATTACACATGTCAGTCCGCTAGTCTGTTAGGTATTTAATAAATTTCATTGAATTTATTCCGAATTTTCTCTTTGATGTTGTCGAATATTTTTTTTATTCGCATTTAAATTTATACATATGAATTGCAATTTTCTTTCGCTATGAGAAATTTAGGCATAGCATTCAATTGCTTTAATTAGTGCTTACATTGATTAATTAATTCATACATTTTCTTTTAGTCACGTTTTGAGAATTGATTTCACGAATAACGATTCAAATTGCGATTTTGTTGCAAGAGAACTGAACTAGTTATAGTTGTCAAAAGGAACCGAATGGGAGACAAATCCCCCTTCGTTTTGAGAAATTTTTTCATTTTGCTAGAGTTTTATGAAAAACTCGACCCCCCCCCCCCCCCCCAAAAAAATTTTTGTCCCCCCCTCTTCAAATTCTTGGCTACGCCCCTGATCCATAACAATTTTCATCCCTCACAAGAATATATCTAAAATTAATTTAAAAATGATTTATTTAAGCTGTAAATTCATTGATATAAATATTTATATTTTTATATGCTGTAACACCCTAAAAATCAATTTTTTTTTCTATGCGATAAATTTCTTTACCATTAAATCTGCCAATTTATAAATTTTATTTTTATGTGTACGTCCATTGAGCTTATCGTTATGTTAAGTATGCTTCTTTTAGATACACTTGCACAAAAAAGGGATCAAATCATGAGCACAAAATTCAATTGACCATTAAAGTTATATGATCTAAAAACGAAGAATATTTTTTTTTCATTCCTATTAAATCGAAATTGTTTTTATACAGCACTAGAAATTTTATATGCACACTTGTATGTGGACGTAATCCTCAAAATCAAAAATGGGATTATATCCTGAAATTGAATTTTTTTTTTTTCATACTCAAATCTTATAGGATGGACCCGATTTTACACAAGATTTAACACTTTATTAATTTTATATGTCCTTTATATAAATTGGATATAAAATGTATAGGATGTGCTATGTTAAAGAGATTTTTTTTTGCGTAACCCTTTTTACTGGATCTTATTTGATAATAAATTATCACGGGTCATTGACAATAACTTTTGTATTATGTTTAATAAATCTTTGTGCATTCTTTTGCTGCTTCCTTTTGGATTTGAACGATTTTCAATAAGAAAAAATCATTAAAATTTTAAAATTCATAAAATCCTTTTAATTCGGGTGAAATTTAACAAACATCCAGATCAAGTTAGAGTTCGGTATTGTAGATATAAAATACACTTCCAATAGTCTTGTCGAAAAATGCAACAAAAAGCTCTTGATTGAATTTTCTTTTATTTTCCAAATTCCTGTTGATTAAACTATTACTCAATTTTATTTCTAATCAATGTGCTTTACATCCAACTTTTTCCTGATGCATTCATCCATTTATTCATTCAATCATCAAATACTCAATATTGGATATTTCATTGAATCCTAATCTATTCGATTGCAGTCCATCTCTTGTTGTATTATTGCATTTAATTGAAAAATCATCGAATGAGAGACAAAAAGTGAATTCTCATGTGAATGGATATAACAAACAAAAAATTGGATTTGTCATATTCAATCAGTGAATTTTGCATTCGACATTGATTTGGTTTTCATTAGAAATTGTCTGTTTTTTTCGGTGCCATGCGACTGACTGATTGAATGTACACATATTGAAAAAGATTTGAATGATAATTAAGACGGCGAAATCTTTTCATTAATGCAATTAATAAAAATGTCAAAAAAGCGGTCAGGATGAACAACAGACATTAAATAATGTGCATAATTCGCAATAATAATGAACGAATACGTGAAAATGTGTAGCGCCAAAAGTCTTACTTTCGATTATTTTTCTTTTTACTTGTGCATTTTCTTTAAACGAATTGGCAAAGTAAATTTGTCCTGATGACTGAGTGCCTTGATGTTTGTCATAAATCCAAATTTTTAAGAATCATCAAGAAACCAAAAGCTAGTCTTAAAATGCGTTAGTTCCTAAAATATATCAAAATTCCTTACCAGTTCCTTATGTCTTAACTCAATCAACGCCACCCAAGTGCATTGTTAATATTCATGGTGCACTTCAAGAAAGAGTGTGAGATATGCGTTCAGTTTCTTCGTTTTCGGTGAATTAATTTACCATTGAGTAACGTACATACATTAATAATGTATGTTAATACCTACTGTCTGGAAATTATTTGCCTTTTCCTTTTTAATTTACGAGCATCATCTTCGTTGCTAAAGATTAATTAAAATTCTAATCAGTCATGACAAATGTTGAGGTATTTACAAAAATATTTTTTTTATGGTGTTTTAATAGAATTTATGGATTCAGACATAAAAAGGATATTAATGATGGGAAGAAGACAGGAACTTGATGTTATGGAAAAGGATGCACAAGAAGAAAAGTGATTTACCTACCGCGTCTATGAGCGTGTGATCGTGGTTTCAATGAATGTATCGTGGAACGGTAAGATTGAGGAAATTAAATTTTGGAAATTCAGCTCTAGATGTGTAGAGAGTCGTAAGTAATTCAACTAAACTTATTCATTTGACCTCAACAAGATGAACTGAATTCCAGCAAGTTCAGTTCAATTCAGCACAAGAAGTTCATCAAAATTCAGTTACCGGATCTTCTGAGAATCCCCAAAATTCATATTCACATAAATCTTTAAAATAGGTAAGAAAGAAACAAAAATTCCACACATAAATTGGAATGTATTGAAAGCTTGTTAATCGTGTCTGAAATATCAAAGCAGTCATTAATTGCACAATTTTATTCTTTTCTTCAGAAAATAATACAAATTCATATTAAACAAATAAATCATTTATTTGAAATTATATGCATGATTATTACTTTTTTATAAACAGATTTTTTTAAGAAAATCTTTGATATCATCTAGTTTCAATGATGATTACTTTACTATACTGTATAGTATGATGAAAGATTGTTTTGATGAACCTTTCAAAAAAAAATTTACTACTAAGGAACGTGAAAAAACGTTTAATAATTGCAGACAGACAATATCATTTTAAACTGATGTTTTAGGATTTAGCAAATCATCTAGCAATGTTGTACAGAAATAAAAAGAATAAGAGGGAATGAAAAGCAATTAAATATCAAAAATCTCGTGATTAATGATGTTTAAATTGTACTCATCAAACTCATAAAATAGAAGTAAATTTCTCCACATATAAATATGTGCGTAGATTTTGAAGGCGTTCACTTAGCACCTTTGGTTTTCAACATATTTATGAAAGATAGACATAATGAGAAATTAGGCAATGAAAAATGATTCTTTTCGCGAAATTTTAACGATTGTTTGTTTTTTAAAATAATTGGAATGCTTTACTAGCAATTTATTGGCTGTGATGATTTGTTTTGATCGACTCTGAATTCCTGTTGATATTTGACGAAATTTAACGGATATAAGAATTTCAAAATTCTTTCGTTAAAATATTCAAATCACAAATTTCCGTTAAATATTCAAAATTAAAATAACCGTGAAGATTTTTAATTGTTCTTTAAAACCTGTAGAATAGATAATGAGCAATAAATCACAAAGATAATTATTATCACGTGTGAATCTATTGGTTTTGTTCAGATTGAAAAATCAGTTTTTTGAATTTTGTGAGGATATGGAGCAAGATAGCTT